ACCTTTATTTATTTATTTGAATTTATTTATTTACTTTGAGAGCATGTGAGAGCAAGAGCAGGGGAGGGACAGACAGAGCAGGATTGAGAGAGTCCCAAGCAGGCTCCGTGCTGTCAGCAAGAAGTCCAATGCAGGGCTCGAACTCAAACCCTGAGATCGTGACCTAAGCTAAAACCGAGAGTCAGGTCACTTAACTGACTGAGCAACCTTATTTATTTTTTAAAAAGTAATCTCTACATCCAATGTGGGGCTTGAACTCACAACCCCAAGATCAGGAGTCATACATTCTACTGGATGAGCCAGCCAGGTACTCCTGAAGAACCTTTTTGTAATCTGAGCCTGATTTAAAGCTGGCACTTGTCACCCTACAAATGGGTAAAGCCGTGTACCTAGCTATGGGATATGCTACCTTCCGAAACCAAAGAGGCAGTGTACCGCCTTCTTCATAGTGAGGCACACAGGATCCAACAATTTATCTCTTACTTTGGATGAGATGTCCTGGCACATCCCTGATTTAGTGAGCTGCTGATTCTTCAAAGAGTTGATCTCCCATCATTTGAGATGCGTGCGTACCACGACCTCCAATGTGTTGGCTACTTGTTGCTCACCTGGCCTGATTAGCACGATGTCATTGACAGAGTGGATTGATGTGATGGTCTTCAGGAAGCACAAATAGTCCAGACTTTTTCTATCTATATTGTATCAAGCAGACAGAGTGCTAATATAGTCTTGGACAAAACTAAGAAAACATATGCTATCGTCTAGTCCATGTGAGTTGAACTGCTTAGGACGTCCTTTTTTGATAGTGGCACAAAAGAGCACATTAATCCAGTCAATGGCTGAATACCATGTACTTCTTGGTTTGACTTTGAGGCAGTCAGCTGCTGTCCTTCAGACTTACTAGCTTCCCACAGGGGTCAACTGATAAATATATATATGATAGAGACTTTTACTCCTATATTCTCTAGATCGTTAAGGATCATACTTTTTATTTATTTGTTTGTTTGTTTATATTTTTTATCGGGGGGGGAGGGAGCACGCCCTGGGGAGAGGGGCAGAGGGGAGAGAGAGAGAATCCTAAGCAGGCCCCATCCTCAGTGTGGAGCCCAACACAGGGATGGATCCTACGACCCTGGGATCATGACCTGAGCCAAATTCAAGAGTCAGATGCTCAGTCAACTGAGCCACTCAGGCGCCCCATGCACTAATTTATTTTCATGCCCCCCGCCAATACGCCAATGAAAAATGGGGACTGAAAAATGGGGACAGGGTTCTCTATAGACTTATAGTGCTGATAAGGTACAAATTGAATTTCAGGATTTGATACTGGACGTGGCACTAGTCAATACCCCTAGCTCTCAGTGGGGATACCTGGAGGACATTCTGGAAGTGGAGGACACCAGAGGCAGACAGAGCCTTCTGCGACTCAGTCTGCAGTCAGTTTTGTCCCTGACCATATCGAGACGATCTGGTTGCACTCCGTCAGAAGCTAGGGAGACCCCCTGTAGGAATAAACAAATCCAGGTGATATGCAGGTGATAAAGCAATTTCTACTTTTTCCGGCCTAAACCAGGCCGGCTCAGCTCTTTAATTTATATACCATTTGTATTTGACTTCCAAGGCCTTTGGATCCTTCCTTTGTTAGTAAAAGAATCTGAGTCGAACTGCCTTAAAAAGAAGATGCCAGATGAAAGAGACCTTCTGAGTCCCAGAGGTCAGTTTCAATGCAGGCTGATTTAGCAACAGGTCAATGATTGCCTTTGTTTAGAAGGGGTGCGCTACTAGATACATCCAGCAGGGGGCGAGGTTGTACCAGGAAATGGCCTCTCCTCCAGTTGCCTTTCTGTTTTTAACGCAAATTGGGATCTTCCTTTCTTTGGAAGTTCTATATATTATTTTTTCTGGAATATTCAGACGGGGCATGGAAGTGGTTTGGGGACAGGCTGTATGTCCAATATGAAGCAGTTCCTTAACAGGAGGATCCTTTGTGGCACTTCGGAGATGGGAAGTCCATCATTCCACAACACATCAACTCCACAACAGCAATCACTGAAGCCACCCAGAGTAACCATACACAGGACCACTTCAGCTTTCCTTCCCCACCTCAATCTTGCCTAAACCTCATTACTTCAATTAGGGTGCCTTTCTTCCCATACAAGTGCAATGCAAATAAAGTGGTCCATCCAGGAGCTCAGGGAAGCTCACGGTGGTGGTAGTGGGGGTAAGAATATGAAGGGCAGGGAAGGAGACAACTAGGGAGGAGAAAATGAATAGCTATCCATCTTTTCCCTTCTTTCCTCTAGCTCCAGGGTCAGCACCTAAAACCCGGAGCTAGGTCCTTTCCCTGTACCTCTCAGTACCCAATGAGCAGCAAGGCCCAGGGACCACTTTCTGCCCCTACGCAAGCTACCTGAGCTCCATCCCTCAGTCCTTGGGGCCTTCGACCACACCTGTGCCCAGAACCTTTTCCTCTCCTGGGACAGGGTAGTTCGGTGACTTGAGCACCTGAATTCAACAGGACCATACGTTTGGGTCCTCCCTCCCATATTCACACAAGTGTATACTGCCTTCGGTCCCCCTTGGGCACGGGGTGATCTCAGCTCCATCTCTAATGATCTTTCTCCTAAAGCAGCTGTGGTTTTGGTAAAGAAGGAGAGCATCAGGGATGAGGAGGGAGAGGAGAGTCACTACATGCTTCTAAATTTGTTTTTTAGGTAGCTGGCGGTTGTTTGGAGGCGGCCAAATGAACTTTTAATGTTTTACTTGTTCCCAAAACCAGTTGCAGTGAGCACCCTGGACAGAGTCCAGGGCTGAGTGGACACAGTGAAGGAATCGGAGAGACCTGGGGGCTGGCAAGCCAGTGACAAAGTGGGCTCTTGCTGAGTAAGGAGGGAAGGACAGGTGAATCCAAAAGAGGCGCGGTTCTGAAAGGGGCTGCAGCCTGGAGGGAGACTAATCGGCTTGCTGGTCTTTCCCTTCATTCCTCTAGCCCCCACGCCAACTGTCCCATCCTGGGCTTTTCAGATCTGCATGTCTTCCTTCCTTCTTCTCTTCCACCTCCTCCTCCTCCTCTCCTCCTCCCCCCCCCCCCCCCCCCCCCCCCCCCCCCCCCCCCCCCCGGCTCTTTCTGGTGTATGTTAAACCTTCCTCTCCTTTCTCTTATATGGGCCTCAGTCGTCGGATCCCCGTCTGCCCTAAATCCAGGCTGGTCTCACCTAGCAGTTAGGAGTTGGACATATCGTTTTGGGAAACACAGTTCTAGCCACTACAGCCTCTTTTTCTGTTACGTCACTTAAATATCGAGGTATTTCTTCCCATAAGAGTCCTGGTTCATATTTCTGTATCATTCTGTTCTCCTCTCTCAATTTCAGAAGTTCAGAGCTCAAAAGTACTATGAGGATAATCCAGGGGCATTATTCTGCTGGCAGAATCCAGACTGATACTAAAAGTGTGTACCAGGGCGCCTGGGCAGCTCAGTTGGTTAAGCGTCTGACTTCGGCTCAGGTCATGATCTCACGGTTCTTGGGTTCGAGCCCCACATCAGGCTCTGTGCTGACAGCTCAGAGCCTGGAGCCTGCTTCAGATTCTGTGTCTCCCTCTTTCTCTCTCTGACCCTCCCCCGCTCATGCTGTCTCTTTCTCTCTCTCTCAAAAATAAACATGAAAAAAAATTTTAAGTTAAATGTAATAAAAACTGATAACAGAAAATGCTAGTGAGGATGTGAAACGACGTGAACTCGCATTTACTGCCGGTGGGAATGCCAAACGGTCTGGCCATGCTGGAAGGCAGTTTGGCAGATGCTTATGGAGTTAAACATAATCTCACAGTACAGTCCAGTAATCACACTCTGAGATATTTACCCAACTGAGTGGAGAATTTAACGTTCACACAAACATTCGTACACAAATACTTTTAGAAGCTTTATTCATATTCACCAAACACTGAAGCAAAAGAGATCTTTCAAAAGGTGAATGCATACACAAACTGGCATATGCACACAACAGAATATTATTCAGTGGCAAAACATAAATGAGCTATCCAGCCACAAAAAGATGCAGAGGAACCTTACTGGAACATTGTTTAGTGAAAGAAGTCAAGCCGGAAGGTTATATACTATCTGATTCCATTTAAGTGACATTCTGGCAAAGGCAAAACTATAGACACAGTAAAAGGGTCAGTGATCACCACCTGCTCGGGGGGGGGGAGGGGGTTGAGCAGCTGACGCACAGGGGACTCTTAGGCTGGTAAAACGATTCCGTAAAATAGCGTGATGCTGGATGCAGGACACGATGCACTTGTTAAGACCCATGGAATTCACATGAAGAGTGAACCTTAAGGTACACAGATTTTAAGTCACTTAGGTTGAGAGGTGAAAGGAAGAACGGAGACTTTGACAAGAGGATCTGACTGCACGACACATGTACAAAGCACCTCACAGAAGGGCGTGGAGGAGAGGTGCTGACCCCAGTAACTGGGAGTGGGACTATAAGACTAAACACACCCTGTACTCGTTTTTTCCCATCCTGCTGCATGTGAACAACTCTATGAATGAAAAGTGAATTAAGGAAGTGAGTGGGGGACGGTAGGAGCCAAGTTCATCACTGTGGGACTAGCACTTCACAGATGACCAAGGCAGGAGGCAATACTGGGGTTGGAGACATCGGTAAGAATGTTTAACTAGTCGCACATACAGACCGTTACACATAGAAACGCTTGTAGAGGGGCACCTGGGGGGCTCAGTCGGCTAAGCATCCTACTTTGGCTCAAGCCATGATCTCGCAGTTCGTGAGTTCGAGCCCCGCGTCGGGCTCTGTGCTGCCAGCTCGGAGCCTGGAGCCTGCTTCGGGTTCTGTGTCTCCCTCTCTCTGCCCCTCCCCACTCACGCTCTGTTTCTCTCTCTCTCAAAAATGAATAAACATTTAAAAATTTTTTAAAAAGAAATGGTTGCAGATACGCATATAGGCAGTAGTCCCCACCCCCCCTGACCCTTATATGTCCCAAAACCCCTAGGCGATGGCACTAAACTCTATATATACTATGTTTTTTCCTATACACACATACCTATGATAAAGTTTAATTTATAAATTAGGCACAATAAGAGACTGACAACAATAACTAATAATAAAACAGAACAATTATAACAATGTACTGTAATCAAATCTATGTAAATGTCATCTATCCTTCAAAATACCTTATTGTACTGTACTCCTCCTTCTTTTGATGATATGAGATGGTAAAATGCCCGTGTGATGAGATGAAGGGAGGTGGATGACATCGGCATTGTGATGCACCGTTAGGCTACCACTGACCTTCTGGCAATAAGTCAGAAGGAAGATCATCTGCTTCTAGACTGCATTTGACCCCAGGTAACTGAAACCCCAGAAAGTGAAACCAAGAATAAGCTAGGGAGGCTGACTGTACCAGACTTAATATACACATACATAATTCTTTGCTTTGTCTGCTGGGCGGGTATAAGAGATATAACACCCCACTAGCAAAATCATACCTAGTGCCCAGATCTTGGTTTCTAACATTCTTCTCCATTAAAAGTAACCAAGGGCTCTTTGGAGAAATGGCTGAATATGGGACGGGGCAGGTGATATACAAAAGGAGCCTAGAACATATTGAAGGACCACAACATAAGAAAGTGCTTAGAGAAAACAGGAAACAAACACAACACAGTCCTGGGAATATGTCAATGGGGGCAAAAGAGCCAAATCAAAGTGCTCCCAGTGACCAAAGTTGGAAAAATCTGAGGAACACAATAAAGTAATCTGGATTATAACTCAACAGAGATCTTTGAGCCCACACTGGCGTAAATAAATAGGAGAGAAGAAGCAAGTATCCCATGCAGGATAAATTATTTAGATACTCCAGGAGTTCCCCACATAAGGAAAAGGAAGGACTCCCCACTCCTTAGGCGTGGGCTGTTAATAAAAGTTCCTTCCAAAAAGTGCATTATAGAAAGGAGGGGGAAAGAGGAAATTTATGGCAGAGAAACCTATCAACACTACTTTGGCCAGGGTATCAAAGCCAACACCCAATCATAAGTCAGGTGGATAATGTGTACCCTTGACATAACAGAGTGAAAAGGCACTTCACCCCTCTGGCTTTGCCCTCTAAACCTCACAACCCCAGTCTAATTATCGGACAGATTCCAACGGAAGAACACCCCACAAAATGCCTGACGAGTACATTTCCTAACTGTCAAAGGTCACTGGTCAAAGCCTGAGCACCTGCAACAGCCACGAGGAAGGAGCCTTAGGAGACACAACAGCTAAATATAACGTGCATGTGATTCTAAAACAAAAAAGGTTATTAGGCAAAAACTAGGGACATATGAATAAAGTAATATGATCTTTAAGACAGTCTCTCTGACCTAATAGCCTATAAATATAAAAAGAGTGGATATTACCCTGTGAATTTCACAACACATATACCCTGAGTTTTAGTAATATGAGGAGTTTGGAAATTCTAAAAATTTTGTTTGAGATTACTTCCAACCAAGCATTTAGTTCCTCAATTAAGCTTAACTGTAGCCCTAACTTGTGCTTCTGATGGACCCACACATTTTCTAAGCATTTATTTGCCTCTTCCAGATGCTGGGGATAATGAGATGAACACACGTTAGGTCCTGCCTTCAAGCTACTGAACTTATGGGAAGACAAAGAAATGAGGGGGGGGAATGCCCCACAGCACACTAGTGTTAGTGGCATAATCTCATCATTATTCACGTTGTTCAACTTTAAAATAGGCATAATAGCCACTTGTGAGTACTAAAGTCTTCATGTGCTTATAAGAGTGGCACATAGGAAGTGTTCTAAAACTAATTTTTAAAATCAAATGAACCATTTGGGAATTTAGAAAATGACTGCCGTTGCTTACAGAATAACCACCCCATACATAACAATTCCCTTAAAGCGAGTAAATAAACTGAATTCTCACCACCTTCAATCCTCATCACTCACCATTTCTACATCTTGCAGACCCACACATACTTCTGCATACCACTGTCCATGTTTTTCCTTAATATCAAGGAGGATGGATTCCAGGGTAGAGCCAAACTCAATGAGGTGAGACGATAACCCAATTTCGTTATTACAAGTGAAGCCAGCAGTATGCATGGCCACCAACGAACCTTCTGAATCAAGCACCGGGGAGCCAGAAGCCCCAAAGTAAAAAGAGGTGTCATAGGTGATCACATCAGGGCTGTGAGCTATTTCCTCGAAGGTTCTTTGAGTATACATATGGATGTATTCCATCCCATAATTGCAACCCTCTCCCTCTTCAGCCTGAAGCCGTTCATTATATTTCTCTTTTCGCTGACCCTGAGAGATCACACTACAAGCATCACTAGACTTTTCCTCTCCATTCGGATGGCCAATGATATAGATCAACCCGGTAGATGGTGCGGGAGCAATTCTGCTATAGAGTCCTAAAGGTACCTGCTGTCCATTTGCCTTCAGTTTCAGAACGGCATAATCAAGAATTACATCAGATATCTCAAACCATGGTTCAAGGAAAAAGCAGTTCTCTTCTTTCTTGTTGGGACTGTTATAACTAAATGTCACCCTTGCGCATCGACCAATCATGTCCGCCCACTTATTTGGCTCTATTCCTTTTCCCATGAAGTCACTCACTACATGCCGGCAGGTGAAAATGAACAAGTCTTTGAAAACATAGCAGGTGGCACAACCCAAATTTCCATTGCTGTCCCATGAGAGGTACCCCACGGAGGCACCGACGAGAGAGAGAAAGTTGTGCACTCTGACCGGGGTGGAGTTTCTTGTCATCTTCCCAAACTTTACTTCAAGCAATTTAAAAAACGAAGTTTTGCTCTTTTTCTTTCTCATTTCTTTCTTGAAGTTTTCTCTGATTTTTTCGCTTTCTCTTTTCAAACTGGGGTACTGATCCACAATTTCTTCTCTCAGCACATTGGTGTTTCCTTCCCCCGACCCCGAGCTCTGAGCGGCTGCTGCCCCGGAGCTCTTTCTCTTCTGAACCTCAACCTCAACCTCAAAGAGCTTGCCTTCCAGGTCGTCCACTGTCTGCGTGCTTTCTAGAATGGAGTCCAGGTTTTCAATGAGCCTCCAATCCTCTTTCTCCAGAAAGGAGCAAAACCGGCCATCCTTGCACAGGGCGTCCTTGATGGTTTCTCCTTTGAAACCATAGACGCAGAGTTTACGCCCTTCTCTGTGAAGCTTCCAGCGTTTGACGATCCTTTTCTTTCTCTTTCCAAGTGGGTGAATATAAAATTTGACACATTCACCAGACACCTTTTCGTGTCGGCCAAATACCTGGTTCTCTTCTTTCTGCCTACTTCTCTTTTGGACAAATGTGATTTGCACACGGCAGCTCTCGGGGAAACAGCTGAGGGGCATTCCAAGATTTATGTACCCTTCAATTCCTTCTCTGCCAATCACCATCATTTCTTTGCCCTGCTGAGTTTCTATCTCCTTCTTGACAGCCTTGAGAGTGTTAAGTGCTGCATATAAGCTCTCCTTTACACTATGTGTGAGTTTGTGTTTCCTGGAGTTTACACCCAAGGTAATGTAAATTGTTTTGTTGGGGGGCACAGTCTGGTCTTTGGGCCCTTGAGCCTGGGTGTTAGTTATATCTTTTGGACCTCTTTGAGAGCCCCTCTTCATTCGAGGAATATTGGAATTATTCTCTTTTTCTTTATTAACCTAGAAATAAATGTGAAATGCTTTAAAACTCTGATTACAACCTTAGACAAGAAGGGTTGGTCAAACAGCAGAAATCCAATGAAAAATTAAGAGCGCTTGATTTCTGTATCTAAATGATATGTCTCCCCCAAGTTCAATGCATCGGGGCACAGGGGTCAACAGACACAAGTTCACGTGGCGGCAATGCCACTTGCTGGTAACGGGAATGCCAAGGGCAGGACTGTTGTAAAGATTCAGTGTAATGTCATGTGTGACAATATTTGCACAATGATCAGCACATTAATGTGTTAACCTTTATTTTCCTTTTGTGATGCTGCTAATATTCTGTATCAAAAAAAAGGGGGACATAAGGTAATATAAATTTACTCTAGGCATAACATACAAACTCTCAAAGAGCATCTCTTCAGCCCAGTCTTGTAAGAAACATCCTTGCCATTCTCCCCACTGGGACACTGTAATGGATTTCCAACGATTCCAAAGATTCTCCAGCAAATAGACAGAGACATTTTCAAAGAGGGAACAATGGGTCACATGGGTGGCTCAGTTGGTTAAGCGTCCAACTCCTGATCTCAGCACAGGTCTTGATCTCACAGTCACGAGGTCGAGCTGTTTGTTGGTGTGGAGACTTAAAATTTTTTTTTAATTTAAAAAAAAAAGGGGGTGCCAGAGTGGCTCAGTTGGTTAAGTGTCCGACTTCAGCTCAGGTCATGATCTCACAGTTTGTGAGTTTGAATCCCGCATCGTGCTGTCTGCTGTCAGCACAGAGCCTGCTTCAGATCCTCTGTCCCCCTTCTCTGCCCCTCTCCAGCTCACACTCTCTCTCTCTCAAAAACAAACATCTACTCCCTCTCTCTCTGACCCTCCCCTGCTCACGCTGTCTCTCTCTCTCTCTCCTAGAAATAAATAAAACATTTAAAAAAAATCTAAAAAAATCAATCAATAAATAAAATAAAAAATGTAAAAAAGAAAGGGAACTGGGTAGTATGTTGCTATTAGCTCATTCTATCATGAAGTAGGACAAACAGAAGCATAATTAGGCTTATCTTGGCTTCCCTAAATATTTGCATATTCTAGCTACAACCAGGGTAAAAGAGACCAAATGAAAGCTTTCATGTTGCATCCCCAAATTCTCAAAATTCTCAGCCTTCTTCTTGATAAATTCAAGGAGCATTTCAGACTCAGGAAAGAATGATAGTTTGATATGATCACAGAGCCCTGTTCTTAGAAGGAGCCCTGACTTAATGTCAGTAAACTTCAGTCCACGTCTTTACTCTGTCTCAAGCACAAAGTCATTTCTCTCTCCTCATAAACAAATTGCAGACAATAAAATCCTCCCTTCCTCCCTAACAAGGTTATGATAAGCATTATTATCTTTTACTTTTTTTTTTTTGAGAGAGAGAGACAGAGAGAGACCACATGAGTACAGGAGAGAGAGAAAGAATCTCAAGCAGGCTCCAGGCCCATAACAGAGCCCAATGCAGGACTTGAACTCATGACCATGCGATCGTGACCTAAGCTGAAATCAAGAGTGGGATGTTCAACTGACTGAGCCACCTAAGTGCCTGGAGGATTATTATTTTGAAATTTGTTTTGTAAACTGAAAGCACAATATAAATGAAGGTGATTGTTGTGAGCAAATACATAAGCCATATTTGGGATAGCATATAGTTTCATGCTATGAAATGGTTTTAATGTTTTCAGTCCAATGTTGACTATAATACATGACACTGCACTTTTTTTCTTATTCAGGAAGTGTGACAATAGCTTTTACTTAAGGCTGCTTTGATATGGCCGGTATTTCTATTAAAACTGGGGTGCCTGGTTGGATTAATAGGTTAAGCGGTCTGACTCTTCATTTGGGCTCGGGTCATGATCTTAGGGTTCGTGAATTTGAGCCCCACATCAGGCTCCGTGCTGATGGTGAAGAGCCGACTTGGGATTCTTTCTCTCTACCTCTCTGTCCCTCCCCCACTCACTCTCTCTCAAAATAAAGAAATAAGTTTTTAAAACCATACTAAAAGTAAAGAATAGAACAAAATGGATGAGAAAGATGTTTAAAATTTTTTTTAATGTTTATTCATTTTTGAGAGACAGAGAGAGAGAGCGAGAGAGAGCGAGTGGGGGAGGGGCAGAGAGATAGAGGGAGACCCAGAATCTGAAGCAGGCTCCAGGCTCTGAACTGTCAGCCCAGAGCCGGATGTGGGCTTGAGCTCATGAACTGTGAGATCATGACCTAAACTAAAGTCGGACTCTTAACCAACTGAGCCACCCAGGCTCCCCGAGAAAGATTTTAACATAATAGCCTCAACCTACCATGGAGTAATTTCTTGGAAGAAAGAACTATGGCACCCAGTGTTTCATATTGTATATTCCATAAATAGGATTTACAAACGTACCTGAGGAAAATAGTCGTCAATTTTCATATTCTTCTCTTCATCAAATGCGATCTTCTGTGATCTGCGCTTTTTATGGTTCATGATGGCTTGAAGATGAATAGACAGTTCAGCTGGAACACTAGTTTCACAAAGGTTCAAGAGTCGTATCTTCAGAGCTGTGTTCACTGTACAGAGGATAACATTAATGGGGACCCCGCATAACATGCTCTCTCCTGGGGCTCTAGCACCCTCTCTTCAGAGATGTTAACTTAGCAAGTAGACCCTTTATCAACAACTACAATCACCTCAACAATAAAGGGTCCCTTTTATAGAGCCCTGCACGTTAGCTACTCTACCAAATACTTTACAAATTATCTCTAATTGCCAATCCCCCCAGATACCATGAAAAGCAAGTGTATTTGCTTTTCACAGATGAGGAAAGTATAACTCAGATCAGGCAGGTGACCCTCAAGGCCAGAGCTACATGGCAGAGGTGGAATTCAAACACAGGTATAAAAATGCCCCACGGAAGGGTCGTTCCCGCAGTTTGAGAACTGAGAAGTGTGTTTTCGTTCCACTGATGTCAAAACCTGGCCCCCATTTAAGGTGGGGGGTAGCACACAGATGGTGTAAGTACATAATTACAGGGGAATGGATGGGGGAAAGAACCATAAAGACAAAATCATCTTGGACTGAGAGTTTAGCTGGGAAGATAGTTGGGAAGTTTCGTTGCTACTTGCTTGTTGTTTTGTTCGTTTGTTTAAAGAAGGCTTTTCCCTTCTATCTTTCTTCTAAAGACCCCGCAGAAGAGAATGAACAATGTAAATAAAACAGTGAGATCTTCATTAACAATAAGTAGGGCAAAAGCCATGAAGGGCTGCAGACTTCTGTTTTCAGTATCCAGGATGAACCGCGATGCCCAGAGCGTGGTGAGCCCTCAGTCCAGACACATTTATGAAGATCCAATGACTGAATAGATTCTGCACATGATACTGTATGCCCTCTCCTAAGAGCTCTTTATAATGACCTCATTTAATTCTTTTTTTTTTTAATATTTTTATTTATTTCTAGGAGAGAGAGAGAGACAGCATGAGCAGGGGAGGGTCAGAGAGAGAGGGAGTCACAGACTGAAACAGGCTCCAGGCTCTGAGCTGGCAGTCAGCACAGAGCCCGACGCGGGGCTCGAGCCCACGAACCGCTAGATCATGACCTAAGCGAAAGTCGGACGCTTAACCGACTAAGCCACCCAGGCTCCCCTGACCTCATTTAATTTTTCCAACTCTGTGAGATAGGCATTCTTAGTTCTATTTTGAGAAGAAAAAACTTGAGCATCCAGAGAGACTATTTACTCAAGGTTACAAAGCTCTGGAAGGTATACTTTTGATTACGAACATTTCAAACAGGAAACAACAAAAAAAGAGAAGAGTCTAATGAATCTCCATACGCCTATCACATAGTCAGTGATTGTTCATTTTGTGCCATATCTGGATCATCTCTTTATTTTACCAGATTATTCTACACTTAGACACATCGTGACGTTTTATTCCTAATTATCTTTTTCCAGCTCTACAAATTAAGAAAGTTTTCTTGTATACTTACAATATTAATCTGTTTAGACCAAGATCCAATTGAGGTACACAAGCTGTCTTTAATTGTGTCTCCCAGGGTGTCTGGCCAGCTCAGTCGGAAGAGCGTGCAACTCAGTCTTGGGGTTGTAAGTTTGAGCCCCACATTGACTGTAGAGGTTACTTAAAAATAAAAACTTAAACGGGAACCTGGATGGCTCAGTCGGTTAAGCGTCTGACTTCGGCTCAGGTCGTGATCTCGTGGTTCAGTTTGTGAATTCCAGCCCTGCTTGGGATTCTGTGTCTCCATCTCTCTCTGCCCTTCCCCTGCTTGTGCCCTGCCTTTCTCCCTTTCTCTCTATTTCTCTCTCAAAAATAAACATTAAAACTTTTTTTAAATCTTAAAAATTCTGTCTCTTAAGTCTCTTTTATTTTAGAAAAAGCCCTGACTTATTAAAGAAAACAGAGTTGTCTGCAGAATGCTCACCTCCTGGGCTCCTTCTTGGTGTTTAACTTATGCTCTAGCCTGTCTGTTTCTTGTCAAGTGCAAGTTCTCAAAGACTGTGCCTATTCTCTTAACCATTTCACTGTGGAGTAGGAAATACGGCTTCATTCTTTACTGGTAATGAGCTACCCAGGAAACTCCAGCATCTCTGAGCCCAAACTCTCCTGTTTCTAAATGAGGCCATGATTCTAAATGAGGTAAAGAATATGGAGTTGCTGCATCAATGTTAGTTTTTAGAAGACCACCTTATATGTCTGGTTATATATATCTGGTTACCATTTACTAGCTGCATGACCTTGGGCATATTAATTAGCCACTGTCTATCTCACTGTCCACATCTCTAAGACAGGGAGGGGTGGCGGGATCTGTCTCCCTGCTTGTGGAGATTAAAAAATACAATTCACATAAAGCCTTTAGAACAGTGCCTGGTACATAACAGGCTGCCAAGTAAATATTACTACTATTACTATTATCAGTACCAGTGTACTTACCACAGGGATACTTTTTAAACTGCAGAGAACCTGGGGAAACAGAAATAGATACATATCATTGAGCCATGGGGCTATGTTGTAAGATCCTTGAAGGCAAGAACTTACTGTCCAGCAGTTAAGAGAATCTGGGAGTTCAGTGTCTGTTGAGGATGACCCAACCTTGCAGACTTTGAGAGAGGACCCAGTTGATTTAGGAGTGATTATTACATATGGACCCCCCCGCCATCTCCCTCCCCCCCAAAGAATATAAAATGGACAGAAGGAAATGTGACATTTGAACTATACTGGATGAACTGAAGCATTCGCAGTGGAAAGGGGCAAGAGGTTTAAAAAACACCCCAATATTCACCTCCCGCCCCAACATCATTTCCAGTATCCAGCTTGAACCATATCATAGCAAATGTGTCCTTAGCTAGCTCTCAGCCTCCAGCCGGGTCTTAGAATTGGAGAAGCCTCTGCTGATCTGAAAGGCTTGTCCAACGTCCTCCAGCAAGGAGATGATGAAAGACGGGTCCATCTCCTGCCCACCCAGAGGCTCTCCCTTGGAATTCCTCCCGCACTCCTCTCTCTCTTTCTCCCTCTCTCGTTCCACGTCCACTTCTCTCTCCTCTCCTCCAGCTTCCTCCTCCCTGCCCTTTCCTCTCGATCTCCTCCACCTCCTCCTCCTCTGGAGGAGTGCACAGAGCTGAGCCAGGCTAGGAGAGGGATCGGTTTCGGCGGACCCTAGGCCACCCCCCCAACAAGCCCCCAACTCCTCCACCCCACCCCCCCCAACCCCTGCAGCTTGAACCAGCGGCCGCCGCGGAAATCAAAGCTCCCCCTGGTCCCCGCGGGTGGCTGGCGGTCGCGCCCCGCAGGCGCGCTAGCGCTCCCGCTCTCCTCCGCACTCCGCCCGCGCTGCGCTCTCGAATCCAGCGCCCACCTGTGATCGGTGCCTACGGGAGGAAACCAAGACCCCGGAGCTTCGGCTGGAAGGGGCGCCAGGGACGGCTCGGCGGGCTCTACTGGCGGGAGACAGGGCTGAGCTTCTAGAACATCTCCCGCCTTCTGCAACCCACTGCCCCGCCCACTGCTGGGTTCCTTCCTCTTTTATAGCCGCCCGGCTTCTAACAGCCTCGGCCTCGGCCTGCACCCACCTCTCCCTACCGCCCTCTCTCGGCCTTTGCTTCTTTGGATACCCCGGAAATGGGCCTGGATGTCGGGAGGGGGAGAGGGGGGCTCCAGAATAAACCATTAGAAAGCGTGTTTGTCTCAATGCCTCCAGCCTGAAACAAAACTTTCCGAACGTCTTCATCCCCATGGCCTGTTTGAAAAACAGACTTAGGGGAGTCAAGGCCTGTTCTCTTCCCTTGGGTTTTCACCAAGCGTAGACCTTCTAAAATTCTGGCCAGATAATCACAAGAATTCCTTAGAAGGTATCTTTACTCCCAGAGGTAAAATAAACTCAGCCCTTGGGGGACCTCAACAAAAAATAAGCTGGGGCTGAACCTCATGCAAGACTCACTGTTCTCACCTTTGAGTTCAGAGAGCACCGGAGAGAAAGTTCAAGGGACCTCAGACGAACACGCCAATCTGGAGTCGCCGGGCCCTCCGAGGATGTCAAGTGCCGGCTCCCAGAAATCTCAACAGAACTACCTGTTGATAAGACAAGGCTAAGCTTATGGCTTCCTGAGGTTTGGGGAAGAAATAACTTCACAGAACTCTGGTAGTGTCTCAGAAGGAGCCAGGTTGGGTTATCTATTGAGATTTTGATGTCTGGTTTAAATCAAGTCCTTAATGTGGGGAATTGGTTAGGACAAGTAACCTAAGCCCTGGGTGACAGTTTAGAATTGGTGGATAACAAGGCAAGGATTTTCAAGGTTTGGGATGCAAACTGTACTTTGATGACTGCAATTGAAGAGTGCTTGGGTCTTTGAGGAAGTTCCTGGAATATACAATAAAGATATTCGCAGCTCTCATGTCCCTAGGCAAAACTTTGCTGAGATAGTAAATTTATGTTGATGAAAATCGTAGATAAGTCATATTAATGTAGTTGCAAGCTATGTGAACGTGGATGGCTTCAGTGCTCCTAGTGATGAACATGCAGGAGAACACAATCACCATGTGTCGTTTATTTTATCCTGGAAAGAAGCTCACTCAGGAAAACACATTTGACACGGCTTGTTACACACAGAATTCAGACACACAGAGAGGCTGCATTTCTTAGGAAACGTTTTCATAAAGTTAACGTTGGGTCTTATAAATGACACATCCAGTTTTTAAATTAGAACATGCTCTCCCCTTGGCCACTGCAGAAGAAATACACATCCTTTTATTTCACTCTTTTTCTTTTTTTTAAAGTTTCCAGGAACAGACCTCAATCCTTGGAGGATATGACAGTATCCAAGTCTATGGGGTTTTTTCTGCCCCATCTCCCCCAGCCTGAAGTTTATCTGTATCGGGTCCCTGTCAGTGAATTTCTTCAAAACTCTAAGCTCCATGACCAAAGGGGTGACTCACCGAACAGAAGAGTTCCTCCCAAATTCCGCAGTCACTCTCGCGAACTTGCGACTTTGGGGTGATCTTTGCCTCCCGCCGGGTATTCCGCCTTCTGGGCAAATGGCCTCTGGGCAAGTGGTGCCTGCGCTTCTGGCCAATGAACGGAGAGGTCCAGCGTTCCTTTGCCCTCATTGGACGGCGGCTCTCCTACTGAGGAAGCCGATTGGCGGCCACTGGAGGGCGCGAAGGCGCGTCAACGATGCGCGGCCAATGCGCGTCCACGGCCCGGCAGGGGCTCGCGGCGCGGGAGTCAGCGCCCCGCCCTCCCTAGTTTTCCTAGTGGCCGTGAGCGAGCTAGACCTGCCTCCGCAAGACGCTCACTGCCGTCCCTGCGGCTTCATCTGCCTGCCTTCCCTCGCCCCGAATCCGCGATACAGTTCCTGGGGGCGGGCGCAAGGGGCTTAAGAGGGCGCGGGGCGGGAGGCCGGGCCCTGGGCGGGAGCCACTGGGGCGGCTTCAGGCCAGCGCGACGGAACCCGCAGTCGAAATGGGTGGGTGGAAACGCGGCTTCCGGATGCCCAGCTGTGCCCTCCTGCAGATGCTGGTGAAGATGGAGGCGGAGGCACTAGCCCGGGGTCTGCAGCTTGTCACAAGCTCCAGCGCGCTGGAGGCGCTGCGGGTGGGTGGAGAGGCGGGGGACTTGGGCGACTCTGGCATTCCCAGCAGATGGCACAGGTGCCAAGACGATGACAGTCAGGAAGAAGCCGCGAATGGAGGTGGAGTGAACGACTTTGTCATAAATCCATTCTCCAAACGCCCATCCATATATGCAGGAGTTTACAATCCTGATGAAGAAGACGGTATGGACTCCGGGAATACGAATCCAAGAGCCGACAGCGTCAGCAGGGTAGGGTTTGCAGACAGCCAGCTGTTGTTGAAGGATCTGCCATCACGAGCAGATCTGCACGCATTCCGTGCTGTATCTGAAAAGAAACCACGGTTACAACTGTGACAACTTTTCTGCAATTGACAGAGGAATATATGATGCGTGTAAAGGGATAGGGTTGAAGAGTGTGTTGCTAACTACAATATATGTGATAATTTTGGGGAACTGGATTTAATGTGCATACAAGACACCCAACGTAGCTTCAGTTACTGCTTCCTCTTCTGTGGGTTCTCTAGGGTTTGGATGGAGTAACTTTTTAAAAAGCAAAAAACAAATAGGAAGCCCAGATTGTATGAAAGTTTCACCAGTAAATATCTTCTCCGAATCCTGAGCACTGCACGCAGTGATCACCAAAGAATTAACTTTGGCTGATCCTTTTTTGTTTTTTTCTTCATTGAAGATTCTGAAAAAAGTAAAAATTCCAGAGACAAGGAAGGGGTGGTAAAAATACGGAGGTTGAAATTGCCCAACCGGATCTATCCGGTTTTGGAGAGCTATGCTGGTGACTTCCCAACGTTGACCAGCAAACTCCTGGTCCATTATTCCAGTTGATTTGTTAGCATTGGATAGACTTTTGAGATATTGTCTGGAAACTAGGAAAGGGATCTGAACTATGAAGAAGAGTGACGTTGTCCTTGTTTGGTATTCTTGAAGCCACTGTATGTGCAGATACTATTGAGTAAGAAAACCTATAATGACAGAATAAATCTAGACAGTCCACTGAGAATGTGTTTATGTGGATGTGAATCATTTTCTGCGTCTTTTTCTCTTTCTTTCCTTCCTTCCATTTTTTTTTTTTTTGCCTTTTGTACATTTCAGTGTTTAAACAAAGCAGTGACTTAGTAGACAATAGGCTTAACACCACTTTCTAAAACATGGATGTTAAGATTTCAACATTTTGTTTCTATGAAATATTAGTGCACAAGAAGATAATGAAAAGTTAGAATATAAAATATGTTCCTATCTATGCAATATCTGTGCAACTATACCTACTATGTGTCAAGTATCTATCACTTTTTCTTAAATATTTGTATAGTTTTAACAGTTTTTAATTTTAAAACATTTCTGGCTTGGAAAGTTATGTTTTGACTTCTTGGAGAAAGGGAATAAAATAACAAACATTTCCTAAACCTTAAATATATTTGCAGTAAAATATATTTTGCCTTAAGGTAATAGTAAAATAAACTTTTTTTGGATGAAAGATTACTGTTACATTTTTCCCCTTCATAGTCCCTACATCTTTTGGTTACTGTTTTTCTTTCTTCCAATTTCACAAAAAATGAAGTTGTGATTTCAAACTTACAAAATAGAGCTAGCTAGCACTAAACCAAAAATTCACATTGTCAAGACTAGAAGCCAAAAAAAGTTTTAAAAAGCTATTTGACCACTAAACTTATTTATGAAAGCTTCCTCTTTTTTTCTTTTGTCTGCTAAAGACCAGCGTTCTTATAATTACCAGGAAACTAAAAATATCATTGTATTCTTTGTCAGTGCTTAATCAAACAGACTATTTCTCAATTCCTAGGTCACACCTATAGACTCTTTCCCATTACCAGGTGTGGTCATCTTTCTGTATCCACAAACCAAAGGTTTAGTAAGTACTTGCCCAGAAACATTCTTGTAAGGACTTGAAAATACGGCTAAACTCTTTCTATTGAACTACGGTTGCCTGTAATATTTAAAGGCAAAGGGCACAGCGGCTCATCTCTTCCTGCATATTTTTGTCATTTATGCAATCCTTACATCAACACATAAATTTGCGGTTATACCTTTTAAGACCCAGTGCTGATTCTATAAAGGGTGAAAAGGTGAGAAGAGTCCTGCCCTCAAATTGGGAAGGAGGAAAAGTACACACATAATAGAATTTCCAACATGGTTTCATTCATTTAGATTTCCTGCTCCCAGATACTGTACTGGCTGTTAGGAGATACAGAGTTGAATGAATATGTTGCTCACATTCATGGAACCAGAGCTGTTTATTATTATTTTTTTTTAATGTTTATTTATTTAATTTTGAGGGGATGGGGAGAGAACGAGGAAAGAGAAAATCCCAAACAGGCTTCTTGCTGTCAGTGCAGAGCCTAACATGGGGCTCAAATACACAAACCCACAAACCTATGAGATCATGACCTGAGTGGAAACGAAGAGGCAGCTGGCCACTTAACCAACCGAGCCACCAGGTGCCCCAAGAGCAGTTTAAAACAATATAGTTCTAAGCACGGTACTTTTCCAGGACACACTATCCATGTCTGTTGTTAAAGTTTTGTAAAGCTTTATGTAATTTTGCCTTAGAAAACATTTATTTTGATTTTCTGGGAAATAGGGGATCCCTAATTGTATTCCTCCCATTTTGGAAAGTCTTTGGAGAACTGGAAGAAGCAGATGTAGAGTGTGAGGAATTGTTGTCAAATCTTCACCCTTCCTTGTATACACACCTTTCGCCCTGTGACTTTGCAGTCCCTCCTACCTCATTAAGGTCAGGCTTAGCCACCTGATTTGCTTTAGACAGTGAACCGGCACAGAACCAAAACTTGCTGAGCTTGGCCTTGGGTGCCACTGTCTTTCTTTGGCTTCTGCCATCACCACCTAAAGAACACGCTTCTGCTAGTACTGCCTCACGAGGTGGCCCGGCTTCAGTGAGGCGGTGCTTGTAATAACTGTCCAAATACACCTGGTGCAAATGCTCCATAAACGATAGACACTGTCTTTGTGACTTCTTTTATTGGCATCATGTTAATTCTGTTTGGTGTATTCCTGTCTAGAAGGCTGTGCCCTACGTCAAAAGTTGCACATGACTTCTACGTTTGGGGGAATATTGCCAAATTACTATACAGAAAGCATATGCCAAATTACTCTTGCACCAGCAAGACGAACTGATATCATTTCATCTTGAGGTCATAAGTGTTGAGCGACCCGGATTCCTAAAGTCAGAGCAAGATCATAGAAACTCTGGATCGGCCCGAGACCAGGAGGTAACACCCTCATCAGGAGACTCTGCTTAGACTTTTAGGAGGGTGCCTGCAGCGCCCCGATTGCACAGACCCCAAGGGGGCTGCCTGCACGCTGGGCTCTTCCTTCGCCGCGCGCAGCACAGTCTTGGCCAGAGGCCAGAGAGCCTAGGCAGTGGGGACGCGCGGGGACGCGCAGGGACGCGCAGGGACGCGCGCGGGCTGGAGCGGCTTCGGTCCTTCTTCCTACGCAGCGGTGTCTGCGGGTCCCTCCAGGCGTACCAACAACTCCCGACCTGGCTGGGCGGGACGGAGCCCCAACAGCACGTCTTGGAAGCGCGAGTCTCAGGATGAGGTACTGGGGAAGGCGATAAGGGAACGTCCGTCCTTGGGACACCCTGGCTGGGACCCTCCTTGGCACCTCATAAAACTGGGTGGGGTAGGGTAGGACTCTCACGTTCACTCATCACTTACAGCCCGCTGGGGTTGTGCTTGGCGCCCCTGGGTCTTATTTAACCCTCACACCCTCCCCCTTTTGGCAGTGGGTGTGACTTTGCCCCCATTTCACAACTTAGAAACACAGTAAATTTGCTAGGGGCCACGTAACCAGCTGGGCAGAAAGAGGGATGTATGGTAGGATTTTAGTTTTAGGGCCTCACAGCCTTTTAGGGCTCTGCGGTGACTCTGGGGACTCCTGAGTTCATTCATTTGCAAGTCAAAGAGGTTGCCCCAGGTGAGTGACTCCCCAACTCTAGTGTCTAGGAGAAATATTTGGGGCAGTCTTTTAAATATGCAGTTTCTTTTTTTTTTTTTAATGTTTTATTTATTTCTAGGAGAGAGAGAGACAGTGTGAGCAGGGGAGGGTCAGAGAGAGAGGGAGTCACAGACTGAAACAGGCTCCAGGCTCTGAGCCGGCAGTCAGCACAGAGCCCGACGCGGGGCTCGAACCCACGAACCGCGAGATCATGACCCAAGCGAAAGTCGGACGCTTAACCGACTAAGCCACCCAGGCGCCCCATAAATATGCAGTTTCTTGGAGCCAGCCTAATATGGTTCAACAGATCCGCGGCGAGTCGGCTCAGACAGGTGCATCTTTTTTAAAATCATGCTGGTGAGAGACTCTGGCTGAGACGATCTTTACAGCAAACATCGCACACCCTGGGCCTGGCAGTGTTCCGCGCACTTTACAACTTTTAC